CGTATTCAGGTAGGTAGTTACCTGTTGTTCTAGTGAGAAGTCGTGACCAGTAGGGTGCATTAGGTCGGGTGTGAGGACAAATACTCGCCAAAGACATTGGCTGAGGTTGCGCTATGTCGTGAATTGGCAGAAGTTAGAATGGGTTGGGTCCCAGTGACTTAATGGTATACGAGCTGGCCTTGTAACCAGAAGGTCCTGAGTTTGAATCCCGGTGGGTGCGTACTGCTGAAGAGTCCCGAAGTAGGACAACAGGAACAGCTGTCCAGTACTCCCAGGTTTTCCAATGGTTCTCTAATTAATGTCAGCTCATGATGAAATCCTGTAACCAATCAGATCCCTACAAACCAGCACTTAGATACTTTCGGTGTTTTTAATAAATAATGTAGTGATCATGAGAGCTTTAACTGGTCAGCTTACAGTTTCTTATGTGCGTCGGCATTATCTGAAAAAGTGATAATATACTCCCACTTGATTTAACCAATATCATGTGAAAATGTTTGAAATTGTTAGAAAATCAGATTGTAATTAAAAGTATTAAGTTTTTAGACAGACTTTCTCAGGATCTGAAATCAACTAGTTCAATATAAAGCCTAAGAACTACTGAACGCTTGTTTTCTTCAGGTTCGGGACGTTGACCTTGGCGGCCTGTTCGAATCTTTGGGCCTGCTACCAAAATATCTACATTTTGCATCCAGTTTACTGTTTACCAGCATACATTTATCACCTAAATATGAATTCTAACAGAATCATTTACTCTCGTAACTTTATTAATCATTTACGACCAAATGACTTTCATATTCCAAAGAAACCAATCGTAGTGGTTGGCAGAGAGCTCTCAAACGTACACCAATACACTTAACTACGGTCCCCGTCATAATGAACTCAAACTGTCGCTCTCTGCCAAATAAGATAATGTACCTACAATCCTTGATGTCAACTGATACGTATCATAACACCGCCATAATCACATTACAAGAAACGTGGTTGCATGAACTGTATGATGACAACCTTATCTCACTAAAGGACTTTATTTTATTTCGTCAAGACCGTCAATGTTGTAATAAGAAAAATGGTGGTGGCGTTGCAACTTTTATTCACTCCAAATGGTCTGTCTCAAATAACGTCTGCTTCACCTTCTCAAATGACTTCATTGACTGTATTACTGTCAAATGTCGCCCCAAACATCTCCCCAAATATAAACAATTCTATATTACAAACATGTACATTTCTCCTAGTTGCTCTCCATCTGATCTATCTAATTTTGCTGATGAATTCACCATGTTTGCTGCTGCCAACTTCGACAACTCTCTATCCGTTATTACTGGAGACTTCAACACATCAGATTGCTCCTTTCTTGAAGCTCTTGGTCACACAAACATAGTCAAATTTCCCACTCGACTTGACAAAACACTCGACCTAGTTTTTACTAATGACGAAGGAGTATATGAAACACGTAGACGTTCACCGATACATAACTCCGATCACTGCATTGTCCGCGTTTTGCCAAAAATATACAGCAAAACACATATTAAAATCTTCTCACACCTGTCTACGAAAGCACAACAAAAAAGCTACACATCTGACAACTTACTCAATCTAAGATGCATGTTAAAAGATACCAACTGGGATCTATTCTATGAAAGTACATTAGATGACTCAATCACCAATATAATGGATTATCTTAAGTTCTGCCTCGACATATGCTGTCCCAAACAAACACTGTTCAAACGCCTCGACCGCTTCTCGTCTCCCCATCTCAAACAACTTCGCAGGCAAAAAGAAATGTTATATAAATGCAAAGACAAGTTAGGACTTAAAAAGATTAATGCTCAAATCAAATCTGAAATCAAAAATCTTAATGCTATCTATAACCAAACACTTTTATCATGCAAATCTCCTAACAGCATGTGGAAACTTTTCAATGAAATTACTGGCAATAGTAAGCGATGTAATGTTTTTCCCTCTTGTGATGTTAATGCTCTTAATCTGTCTTTTATACGCTCTCCTTCTACTATAACCACTTCTAACGTTACTAATCTTGTAGCTGATAACTTCCAGGACTTCAATACTCTCGATGTTTTGAAATGTCTTAAAACTCTTAAGCCCTCACATAGTCTTGGCCCTGATGGCATACCTGCATATGTTCTAAAACAATGTGCAGATGCTTTATGTTTCCTCTAACTAATATCCTAAATGCTTCTTTCTCCGAAAACGTTGTACCTGTTCCATGGAAAGACATTAAAATAGTCCCTGTCCCTAAACCTGGAATAGCAAGAACGTAAAGTTCAGACCCATCGCCATCACTTCCCCGTTTCTAAAGCTCATGGAAAAACTAGTACTTCTTAAACTCGAACCCTCCCTTAAAAGCTTCGAAGACCCCAAACAATTTGCCTACAGACAGGGTAGGAGTACTTTAGACGCTGCAGCCGTCTTACACAACAGTATTGTCTCATCATTAGACAAAGGTGCCAAATATGTCCGCTGCACGTTTCTTGACTTCACTTCTGCTTTCGACTCTGTACCTAGAAGTCTCTTGCTAAATAAGCTCTCCATGACACAAACCGAGTCCTGGGTCACTAACTGGTTGCATTCCTACTTTTCAAACAGAATGCAGTACACCGTATACAAAGGGAATCCTCCTCTGCTGTGCTCACTGAAGCTGGTGTCCCCCAAGGTGCTGTACTCTCCCCACTTCTCTTTTCTTCTTCCTACATGACCTACCGTCTTCAAATGACATTAACTTTGTCAAATATGCTGATGACCTAACTGTATCTTTACCTGTCAAATGTCAAAGTGACTGCTCTAAACTAAATGGCTTCTTATCAGAAATTAGCCAATGGTCCAAGGAAAACGGTCTCACCTTAAACCCCTCCAAATGCCAAACAGTTAATTTCACCTTTAGGCATAAATCTGACCTAAACAAACTGGTTAGCACTCACGAGGTGTGCAACATAGATGGCACTGAAATAGAAACCAAGTCGGAAATTAAATACCTAGGCGTCACTCTATCTTCTGATCTTTCCTGGTCGTCTCATATCTTGACGATTTCCAAGAAAATATACCGTCTTACCTTCTACATCAAGAAGTTAAGACATTCTGGTGTAACCCAACCCTTACTCCTACAATTTGTTAACTCCCGTATTCTGCCTATTATTCTCTATTGCTCCCCCTTAGTCTTTCCTGGGCTATTGAAGAAAGACTATACCTTATTACGTAGGATGTTAAAGGTTGTCAGCAGGGTAAGCAGTTTGCCACTTAGCCAGCTTGTTAATATTCTGGTGGACAGGCATATGGACTCATGTGAAAAATGGGCGAAATCCATTTTATCTGACTCACAACACCCTCTACATTCACAACTCTCCCCATGTATCTCTTCAGGGAAAACAAGAAGCCTATATAGGAAACTATATGCCCGCACTAGTAAGTACAAAAACTCATCCATACCCTACCTAGCCCGTGTTCTGTGCGATAAAGAATGCATCAGGCATGAAACCTTTAACTTATTAAATAGTCAGTAGAACCAATGGATCTCGTCTTTCCAACTCACATCATTTATAGGTACAACGTTTTCTCTCTCTTCATTCTGTATTTATTTTTGTTATGTGCTGTTTTGTTTCTCTCTTCCTTGCAAACTCTACTTAAAACATTCTTGTTCGTTCTTTCACACTCTGTATATCTCGACCATTTTGCTATCGCTTACGCCAGTAAATATGCTAGTAGTATCTACTTTTCTAACACCTTCAAACACCTGTTTAAATTTTGGCTTTGCTACCGACATGCTAATATATTGTTGTTGACTGAGATAACTTTAATCTATGTAGAACTTTATTTATTGTTAATGTACTAACTGGATGCAATATTGTAGTAAAATGCTGAGAATTCCATTCTGTATCACAAGTACTGATTTGGAATAAAGCTTATCTTATCTTATTTTAAAATAGGTAACCCTGAAAAGCAAGCTGTTGCTCAGCCACCGAATCGGAATCCAAGTTCCTATGGGTATGAATTTCTTGTACTCCATTATCTCAAGTTCATTGATGTATGTCTATTTCTTGATCTAGATTAGTCGTCTGCAGCAACTGCTGATTAGTAGTAGAACTTGAGTGGTTCATCTCGCTGATAACCACCGATAGATTATGATGTAGGTTTCTGATGTAAACGAGATGGGGTTGATCTTCACTGGTAAAACATACGGCTGGATGCGTTTTCATAAGTTTCTGTATTAACCTCAAGAATACAAGCTATTAATGAACAAATCTGTTTGGTTTGGGTCCTCAGAAAGTGAAGCTATAGAGGAACAAATGAAAAGGAAAATCCGATCAGACTATAATGTCAATACATGCATATAACATGACTTCATGGTGAACAAAGAATCTTGTCTGTACCAACATGCATTCTGAAGGAAGAGCTTACAGTGATGACACGAAAAAACCAATCTCTACACCTTTATTATTCAGTTCATTGCATATGCAATCCACTGATTCCATCAAAGACATACCGTTGAATAAAGAAGATACATTCAGGGACATCTTGAGTTTATCGTTCACCTCTAAGTCTTTAACTCTTTCCACAAACTCAAAACTGTCTTTCACACTGTGTTTTACGAGTTTCTTGGGTAACGACCAGAAGAAATAATCGACGGCTATTGTTCAGTTAGTTGTCTGGGATGGTGAACAAGACATGTTAATGACTGTTATAACTGGCAAACCGCTGTTATTAATCTTAAACAAACCACATGATCTGGAGACCACTGTACTGACATATATTTTGGTTTTTTTATACTAACTTGCTTGAAGTTCTCTTATCACGTAATTTGTCACCTACAAGCCTCAGTGTATACTAATGCAGAACTAACCTCTCGGATGAGATGCAAAACAGTCAAGTTTCTTTCTAAAATAAAGCCATGCACCCTTTTCATTTTGTGCTAATGATTTTGTATTTGAGATGTTTAAAGGATAAGTGCTTTGGAAAGATATGAGGAGAAAGTGAGAACAACCGTCTTCTCTTAATTAGTACATTTATTTTCATGAAACGGTTGTATTAGAGAATAAAAGGCTTACAACACAAGTATATGAACAACAAAAAGTGTAAAATGGTATTCACAGTTTTAGGCCAACAAGTTAGTTCTTCTTGCTTGACTTTTCAGGCTTTTTCTTATCCTTAGCTAACTCCTTTTTCAGTAATTCATCTTTGCATGACCTGAAGTGAAGTGAAAATGTAAAGTGCTTGTATTAGAGAAAGGGTTTAATAACTATAACCATAATAATAATAATAAAAATGGTTTTAATTGTGCATAAATTGTTCAAAGCATGTGCAAAATTGTCATCGTAACCTTTTTTAATCTCTTTCGCGTTCCAAGTGGAACATACGGCTTCAAGATTTGAGCTTCACAGTTTCATAAGTTGTGGTGTTGGTTTTTCAATGAGTGTGGCTGTCAGCCTCACGTCCATCATTCTGTCTTCAAAGGGATTACACCTACTAAGCGAGGTTTATGTGTTCGTCGGTGGGGAATCGAATCCTCGGACCACGAGAATCGTGTGTGCTGGTTAATTCTGTCCCTGAATCGCTGATGTATTCAGCACAATTTACTACAGAATATTTTCTCTGCATCCAGGATCTTCAAGTATATCAGAGTGATTCAGTACTGTTTTCATTTCGTCTTGTTGGAGAAATGTCCACTACTGAAGATGTTGTAAGTAAAGCAGTGCCCATGACTATTTAATAACCGAAGCATCCGGTTAAGAAAAAAGATAAAGTATTCTTCAAGCTGGCAAGAGATGCAGCAAAGACTGGATTTTAAGTCAACATAAGGAAGAGATAGGTGATGAAATTAACCAACTACCACTAACAACAACAAGCGGGACAGATCTGAAACAGATAAGTACTTCCGATTATCTAGGAAGCATCGCTTCAATACAGACATTCGGAATGCATGGTGATGTCAAAACCAGAATCGAAAAGACAAGACAGACCATCATCACTCTGAAATCAGATTGGAAATCTTCTGCACACCGCCTCAACATAAACAGCAAAATTCGGATTTTCAATACTCGTGTCAGTTTGAGTAATTTCTTCTATATGATTTAGAAACTTGGCCAGCACGTAGTGAATAGCATTTGCTAAAGGCCGCTGAGGAATTTTATTATTAACTGCCACCTTTGCTGGCAGCCGGAAACTTTGGGAACGTCTCAATCAAGACCTCATTGACTAAGTAATATTGCGAGGTAGGTAGAGATGCATCCGAGATACTATGACAGGACTATCCAGTGACACTGACACCAAGGCGATCACCTAAAGGGGACCCGAATAAGCGACGAAGTTTTGGATGAATATGGGTCTAAGTGGGATCTGTAGAAGATCCTATGAGAAAGATACGGAAGTTTATGAGCGATAATCGGTCCAGCTAAATAGGTTATCAGAAGACAGGATGGTAAAAAGAGATGTTCTTTTGAAGCCCTGTCTCGCACTCGGAACCAAAAGAAATAAGCACCACAATAATTTTATAACCGTATAACTTACACAATCATAGTTCTGATTCCTTTTTTCGCTTTCTTTTCTTTCTCATTTGGTCTACTGAAATCTATTTTTGTTGTACAAATTGCATCTTTTATTTTCAGTGTTAAATTTTTATTCAAACTATAATTCATTCCAGAGACCAGCAACCACATATGACCTAAAGGATTTCAGAAATAGTGGATGCATTATATAGATGTGGGAGTATATATGTAACTGTGTAAGCAAATAGTGATAAATATTAAACAACTTCGCTATCTATCTAAGAATGCACAAGAGACTATTGTAACAAAAAGAGAAATACCTAGGTTTCCGTTGTGTTGGTTTGTAGGGCATTGATCGGTTCCAAGTTTGATTTCCCTACAAATCAATATCCAGCTAGAGAAAATTAGTGAGAATAGTGGACGGCGTTTTTGCTCTAGTCTGGAGCTCTTCGCCCGTATGTAGCAGTACCATGTCCTTACTAGTTCAAAGTGGCAAATTTCACTTCAAGATAGTCGGACTCCCACAAAACAAACTTAACTGACTGCTCATCAGTGAGATGAAGTAGCCTCCAGTCCTATTGATGTCGATCAAACCGGAAGTGAGTAGAGATATTTTGAAGGATGCGGCACCATATACTGCGAATTCATAGGTCATTGTTTTCTATCCCATTGACTAAATGCCCAACAGAAAGACTGTTGGTTCGAATCCCGATAGAGGCATCAGTGCTTGCTACTGGACAGCATTGAAAACAACATTTCAATACTCCGTAGCTTGCAACGGCTCCTTAAATGATTTTAGTTAGCGATGACTGAAACCGAAATCACAAGCCCGGTGATTAGTTAACGATTATAAACTGTATATATATATATATAAATAGCGGTTGGATTAATGAAAAGTATACCTTGACTTCCGTGTTTTGCCTTCTGCTATTATAATTTGAACACATAAGGACTCAAAGTGAGGAGAGTTGTGAATAGAGCAGGTGTTAAGAGTCAGAAAATATGGATTTAGACCATTTCTCATATGAGTTCAGATGTCTGTCGACTACAGCAGTAACGAGCTGACTTAGTGATGGCACACTACTTGCCCTATTGACAACCTTTAATACCCTTCACCTTAGTAATGATTTAGTCCTTTCTGAGTAGTAGTCCAGGAAAGATTAAGATGAAGGGAGCAATAAGGAACAACAGGTGATATATGAAGTTTAACAAACTTTAAAAGTACAGGTTAAGTGATACCAGACCGTTTTAACTTCTCAATATCGAAGATTAAACTGGGTATTTTCTTATAAAACGGAAAGATTGAGCGAAGAAATATTTACTTTTCAATTAGATCCTCATCTCTGGCTGTACTCTAATATAAACGTATAGCATTTTTATTACAGTACACATCAGTTTACCAATCAAATATTTCTTCGCTCAATCTTTCTGTTTTCTAAATATATAAATAAGGATTTTCTATATTTTCTTATAAATTGACAAGATATGAGATGACCGACCAAGAAAGTTAAGAGGGTAAAACTATTCCAAGTTTGACTGAGTTTCTGTTTCTTTGCCCCCTAAACTACAAGTATCATGTGAACGGGCCACTTCGTGTAGATCAATTTTTACCTGACTGTGAAGTTAACCATATGACATTTAGAGGGATTTGACATAAATCCATTTAGCCATGAATATTCATTTGTGTCTGACAAAACGCTATTCATTCTGGAACAGTCATATCTGGACATAACCGGCAATAGGACATTCTAACTCTCAGCGCACTTAACAAAGTTGATTTCGTCCAAATAAAAGCAAGTCATGTAAAAAGAAAGAAAAAAGACTAGGAGAGAGAACAACACCTTGAGGGACACAAGCTTCAGTAAGCAAGGCGGAGTAAGATTTACCTTTATATACATCAATGTAATTGTAGAAAATCGTACACTGTGGTGGAATGTAATTCTGCATCACATAAGTTTATTTTTAAACATCAACTCAGCGATGATGCATTATGAACAACTGGATGACGTTTCGAGTTAAAACTTTATTTTTCATATTATGATTATGCTCAAAATGTCATTCAATTGTTAATGCAGCAGCACTGTGTGATATTTAAAAATTAAATGATCTAATACGGAATTTATATACATTTTGCTGCATTCTGTCAGGGAAATAAAGATACAACCAGTTACCAGTCCAGGACTCCGTTTTGTTTGTCAAGGAAAGCTTCTTTAATAGATGGCATCTTCGTACATCGTCAAAAGTAGATGAGTAGTCAAGGGAGATACGTCGGAAATATTTGGCCCCTTTGTCTGAACATCAAACAACCTTAGGATGACAATGGCAGCATCTAAAGTACTTTTGCTTTGCTTATTTGCTAGCTGTGATAAAAGGGATTCAACATAAGACTATTTAACTTGAACCAGTGGCTTGTGTACATGGATAATTAGTGTGGTGAGAGCAGGCCGTGAGAAAATATGAGCAAGGCTGATTCAACAACCAATCACAGCAAAGTTAACGTGGCAAAATATGATTCGCAGATAGAGAACTCTATTTGTCGAGGAATCCCGAAACAACCAATCAGAAGCCTGCGTTTGTCTGCCTAACTTCTGATAAACAACCAATCAGATGACTGCGCTTGTCTACTTGCATAAGCTATAATAATGTATGTGAAATATATATAAATACGTGTTGATTTTCATAATAAAACGATCTGTTGCCTGGCCCTTGTCTTCTGTTGTTACATTAGTAGTACCTCGATCGTTAATTATCTATCTATATATGCAGGTAAAATGGATCATCGATTTCGGAAGCTACAATAGCTTAAAATATGGACAATATGAGACACAGGCAAAGAACGCGATGATCACATTACAACACAACATCAGGTAATCAATCACTTAGAACTCACCTTTTTCATTTATGATGAACGGAATTTTGGTAGTGGTTAATTTGGCAGATATAACCAGAGCAGTGACGGCTAAGCATACCAAAGTGAAACGAATCATTTTTTTAAATTTTTGTTTTTAACTAAGAGGAACATAAGAAAACACAGGAAGAAAATGAAGAAGCTAATTAGAGCACCAAAATTAACAAAGAAAACGATTTACTCAAAATTTCGCAGCTAATTTGTTTATGTAACTTACATTTCTTGAGGAGTGTAAATAACTGACTAATTACCTCCTGTATTTATATAGTTGGAAGTTGTTATTTTCTGAAAAACATAATATCACCATAAGTCAAGACGTCAATAACTTTTGACAGATGTACTAAATGGAAGTGAATGTGACAGACTTAATTTTACTGACAACAGAAATTATGGTATTCATTGAATGTCATTTGAAAAGACAGTGAAATTAATTCCTAAAATGTAATGATTAAGAATGACAGGGGAAGACCTACCTGGATAGCTTGGATGGCAGGACTAACTGGTTTCAACACATAGAGAAATATGCATAGAAGTGCACCAGTTCGAATTGTCACATTCGATGTGAGAGTGAAGAAAGAAATTCGAAAGAACGATTATAAGCGGGAGTGTAAGGAAGAAAGATTAGTGAAATGGAGAAAGAATATGGTATTTTTGGGATATGGTGGATCACAAAGGCTGATGCATCTGGGCCTCTGAGAAGGAGTTCGAGCCATATCATTAATTTTCTCTAATTACTGGTACTTGCTATCTGAAGGACTCTAACCAGCAAGGCAGTCTGTAACTACCTACATGGCTAGTCCAAGTTGAATGCTAAAGGCTTCATGGACTGATTATATTTTATTGTGTGACCACCACTCACACGTTTTTAACCTAACAAATGTTAAAGCCATGTCAGTCGATGTACTTGGCGACTTCATCTATTTATTTCTCCTACTCACCTAGCACTAGACGTTCAATCTCAATATTATACTCGTCCAGTTATATTGCCAAACATGGGAGACTGAACGGAGACACCTTTGACCAAATAAAGCTGGTCAGTCTTTTCAAGTCTCCCACTATCATTGATCGTGTCTCAGTCAAAGCCATAAAGGAGGAATTCATGTACTCTTGAGAGTGTATGGGCGGTTGTTCCTACCCGACAGCCCATAAGGTGGAGTTTTAATTTTTATTGGGGTACCCGAAATAGAAAGAGAATCAGCATTTTGTGGCTGCAGAGCCAAGTGGACAACTGCTTGAGGCCACTTACACATGGCCTGCTCCAACTGCCTTTAAGAGGTATTTCCGTATTGGTAGCTTACCTCTGGGTGAGGATAACTGTATAAAAAGTCAACATGTACAGTCTTTTCTAAACACCCACCTGATCAGAGTAGAGAGGAGGCATAGCTGGCATGCTGGTCATCTGAGGAATGCATCTTATTGCTGTTACACCCCCGTTCCCCAACAGTATGAATTTGTTACCCACAGACCTCCAGAATGATGTAAACATTCTACTCAATGTCAGTAACTGCTTTCAATCGACATGCTATCCTAACAACACCTCTTTGGCATGGAAGAACTTCCAGGAACACTAGTTCTATTCAGTGTAGCTTGTTGAGTCATTGCGGTATACAGGCCCGACCACCACACCAAGGTATCACCTGCTGTTCAAGTAGACAGCTAATTTAATCGTAACAGTAACAGATTATTGATTCACATAACATCTGAGAACTACCAGTGCGTATTGTAGCTGAGTCTGGTAGCTAGGTTGATACACCACCAAACTGGTAATTCGAAAGAAAAAGTCTTACTTTCATCACTCTGAAAACAATTTGAAAAATCTTCTGCAGTTTTCCCCAGTATAAACAAGAACATATGTATTTTCAACACCATTGAGAAGATTTATCTACCGCTGCCTAAATCGCTAGCTCTCCATACTCAAGATCGAATGGCCTGCCAGAATGAATTAGTAACAACAAACTCTCGGATAAAAAGCAGTTAAAAATCTATTGCTCAACAAATATCTGAAGAAAATGGAGGTAAACTGGATACACTCTGAGCAGAACGTTGAATGAAATAGTGCCACGTGAAATCGCTTGAGAATATATGCAATTCCTAAGGAACTGGTGATCCCAAAGGGATTAGGCCCCACCCCTGGTCAACTAGTGTTAAAGTCAAGGAAATTTATCACGCCCGTGTCGTACTCGTCTCCAGCTGGTCCTACGATCGTCCGTGGTCTCTCATGCCCTCCTCACACGACCTCCTCCATGTCACAATCAGATCCACACTCAACTCTTCATTTCCCATTCGGGTAACACTTGAGCGGTGACATGGTGCTCAATGTCAACCAACGATATCCTCACTGTGTGTCCACTCTATGTCTACTTTCTTCGGCACATTTGTTGAGCAATCGGCTGTTGATTGGTTTGTTCCCAGCCAGAGTTTTTTTGTTGTTTATTCTTTCTGGCTGGCTGGCCATTTAATCTTCAGTATGAACCCAGTAAGGGTGGCAGCTATTGATAAAAGTCTGCAGTATCCTGTTGGAAATGCTCTTTGGTCTTGCGTAGATTATTAGCTTGCTAGATTTCTAGCCAATCGTAAGCCCGTGAAAGGAAGATATGGTGGGCGTTTGACTTCCAATTCTACTTCGGAAAATAAATGAGACAGCTGCTAAAAATTCACAGCAGAAGGAAAATATTAAAAATTGAAGAAAAAACTCATTCCCCGCTGGAAGTTACATAACTGACCGTGAAGACTTCAAATCGCTAATTAATTTACAACCTTTGAATGTGATGCAACTTAATACTTAAGTAACTAGCCAGTTACAATTCACATTTTCTTTTGAAATGATTAAACGTTGTGAGCTGGGTCACACCGGGCACACTGTTGATAAGCTTGACTCCAAATGAATCAGACGGCTGTCTAGTGCCTGAATCACCTCAGTCTGGCTAACAAGTAAGTACTGTTGATTTATGTGAGTGATTTCTGTCTACTCATTTCAATCACTCAGTAGTATGTGGCACCGTGTATTTTACATCCCTTCCTCCAACAAACTCACACGATGTCCTCCATGTCAACCTCTCGCCGACTACCCATTCGTTGATTCTCATTGGGATTCCATTCGAGCGATGGCCTGCACTGCGCAGTATGTTATTCTATGATCTCCTCGTTGTTGCTAGATTTTATTGCTGCTGATTGATTCTCGCCGGTTATTTGATCTTCACTACTGAGCCAATTAAGGTGGCAGCAATTGATTGAAGTATGTAATTTGTTAAAAACTCTTTTCTTGGCACACATTGCAAGATTCTTATCCGTATACAAGGGCTGATTTCACAAATCAGAACCTTGTTGTTTATTCTGAGGCGGAGTAAGATAAGATAAGTTAAGCTTTATTCCAAATCAGTACTTGTGATACAGAATGGAATTCTCAGCATTTTTACTACAATATTGCATCCAGTTAGTACATTAACAATAAATAAAGTTCTACATAGATTAAAGTTATCTCAGTCAGTTTTTACAACAATATATTAGCATGTCGGCAGCAAAGCCAAAATTTAAACAGAGTGTTTGAAGGTGTTAGAAAAGTAGATACTACGAGCATATTTACTGGCGTAAGCGATAGCAAAATGGTCGAGGTATACAGAGTGTGAAAGAACGAACAAGAATGTTTTAAGTAGAGTTTGCAAGGAAGAGAGAAATAAAACAGCACATAACAAAAATAAATACAGAATGAAGAGAGAGAAAACGTTGTACCTATAAATGATGTGAATTGGAAAGACAAGATCCATTTGTTCTACTGACTATTTAATAAGTTAAAGGTTTCATGCCTAATGCATTCTTTATCACACAGAACACGGGCTAGGTAGGGTATGGATGAGTTTTTGTACTTACTAGTGCGGGTATATAGTTTCCTATATAGGCTTCTGGTATTCCCTGAAGAGATACATGGGGAGAGTTGTGAATGTAGAGGGTGTTGTGAGTCAGATAAAATGGATTTCGCCCGTTTTTCACATGAGTCCATGTGCCTGTCCACCAGAATATTAACAAGCTGGCTAAGTGGCAAACTGCTCACCCTGCTGACAACCTTTAACATCCTACGTAATAAGGTATAGTCTTTCTTCAGTAGCCAACCCAGGAAAGACTAAGGGGGAGCAATAGAGAATAATAGGCAGAATACGGGAGTTAACAAATTGTAGGAGTAAGGGTTAGGTTACACCAGAATGTCTTAACTTCTTGATGTAGAAGAAGGTAATACGGAATATTTTCTTGGAAAGAGAAGATTTCCAAACTGGTTTCAAGTTGATGAAGGCGTGTCTTGCTTTCCTGATTCTGGTTGACTTCGACATCTTCATACGTGTTGCGACTGCCTACGACTGAAGTGATCCCTTCTGGCTGGATATGTAAAGGAAGTTGCTTATTTCAAATTACTCTAAGTGGGGTAGTGATTGGTGTTCGCCGTTGTTTTAGTTGCTATTGGTTGGTCGTCTTCATCACCTCTGTCTTCTCTGTGTTCACCTGCAGTCCTGTCTTCTCTGTACTACTACTTCTTCTGATAGTTTGTTGGTTTTCCTCTGTAAGTCTTCGAGTTTGTGTGGCATTAAAAGTGACTCATTTACTCGCGAAATCTAGATCTTCTAGAGTCTAATCTGTCCAGCGTATTCCTATCTTCTTACTCCCTAAGCACAGTCTGGTGCATAATCTAATCCACTGAAATTAAAAATATCATCGGTGCGTCGGTGGCATAGCGGTTAGGACGCTCGCCGACCATGCACATGGTCCGAAGTTCGATCCCCGACCGGCGCACTCCTTTACCTCGCTAAGCCAGTTGTGAGACTGGTGAAGAGGAAAGGTTTGGCATGAGGCTAGCAACCCCATCCTGTAAAAATAATCACCACTGCTACAGAAACTTCAAGCATCTAGCTTGAAGCCCTATGTTCCACTGGAAACGTGCAGGAAAATAAAAAAAATCGGTGATAATAGGCGGTCGGTCTTTTTTGTTACTCCTGTATTCATTTTGAGCACCTCGCTGCGTGTTTTTTTGCTTGTGGATCACCTGAAACATAGCATCATTACATGGCTGTTGAATGAGCCTGATGCATTTCCTTGAACAAGACTCAGTCACTTTCCATTTAAATTCCAGTTTAGATTTTTTAGAAGAGGATAATTAGGATACTGCTACTATGTTTCACGATTCAATCATCTTAATTATACTGGATTTTAAAATAATTTAAGTTTTTCGAGAGTTTGGGAAATT